TGGTGTTTTGTTCACTGCTGTACCCCTACAACTTAGAGCAGGGCCTGGCACATAGTAGGTTCCAAATAAACACTTGCTGAATGAATGAATGGATGAAGTAGATTATGTTTTAAAAGCATCTTTTCATTGGCACTGCATAGAGCAAACTTGTAGCAAAGGCAGCCCTGGGAAGTGTCACAGCTACAATTTCATTAACATGCTCAGCTTCAGCACAGATGACATTCCAGATCAGCTGGCTTCCTGGGGCCCAGGAATCTTTTGAGTTGTGGCCAATTTTGTATCTCCTCCTGCCCCCAGGGTAACTGTCAAAAACCTACTGGGTACCCCACAGTTTGAAAAGGTGGGCAGCTAACTTTAATTTCTGGCGGGAGTTGTTTGGAGGGGGCTGTAAATGGGGATACAGAAGGGGAGAGTGTTACCCTTGCTTTGCAGTTGTAGGCTCATGTATTCTTTACTGTAAAGAAGCATGGAGCAGGCTGTCATTAAAGACACTCAACCTGGTTTATAGTGTCTGGTTCAATTAAGAGAACTTCTGGGAAGAGACATGATCAAATAAATAATTGGAGAGATGCAACTCTGAAAGGACAATTGTTTTTCATCGATCTCTGTTTGCAAGTTGAAATTGAGAGATACAAACTTCAAGTGGATGGGCTCTCCTGGGTGAGAGTCTTCACTTCAAACGCAGTCAATGAGTGTTGTTTTGTGATACACATTTTAGTACTGCTAGAAGCAAACTTTCTAAATATTAATAATAATAATAAACAAATCCCTCTGCAACTGACAGTGAGTGCACAGATGAACAGAGATTTCCAGGAAACAGGCCGTTCTCATCTTCTGGATGTGGCAAAGGCTTCATCAGAAGGGACAAGCTGTAGAACAACAGAAAGTATGCCCCTCATTTCTTTGGAATTTCCCTTTCAGGAGCACTGAGGGCATATGAGTTGATTATTAATGTGTAAAATTAATCTCTTTAGAGTTACCTCTATTATAAGGTGCTTTTTTTTTTTAGTTTGAAATTAATATGAAACTTTGGAATTAAAAGCTTCTAACGCTAAGAGCTGTCGTTAGGAAACACAGTGACAAGGATTCAATATACTGTGAGGTGCCACTGTACAATACGTGGGATTTTTCATGTCTCCTTGCTATTGAGCTGTAGGTGACAACTGCAGGTAGAGCTTGGCTGCAATGAAGCTGACACATGCAAGCACTTGGCCCCTCTTGTTCCTGCTTCATCACTCAGGCTAAGCGAGCAGCAGACAGCTAACATGCCACTCATAGGTGTTTCTAGAGGGCTGGGTGGCCTGATGGAAAGGACATGGGCTTTGAAATTAGAGACATGGGTTTAAATCCTGACTGTGCCACCCACCAGCTCTGTAAGCAGATGATCTTACCCTAATCCCCCTCAGTTTCCACATCTGCCTCAAATGAGGTTAAAATAACTATCTCAAATGGTAGTTGGAGGTTTCAAGTGAGACAGTGTATGGGAAGTAGCTAGAATAGTACATGGCATAGAGTGAGCACCCCCAAAATGATAGCTATTAGGATTATTATTGTTGTTGCTGTCATTATTATTATAAGAAATAGCATTATGAAATAGTATTAGGGGGCTTGTGTTTAGCAGACTACCAGAGCTGGCCAGGGTGGGGCTTGTCACTGAGATCATTCAGGATGAGGTGTGCAGCACTTCTAAAACACTATAGATGGTGACGCTGTGGACTGCCCTAGGAACTGAAACTCCCTCCCGCTGATGCTGCCCAAACCCCCACTGGCCCTCATATATTTACAATCTCTGTATTCTTGGTAAGTGCTCACCATCATATTTGGTCTATTGCCCCTTTCAGAGCACTGACTCCTGGGAAGTGATGATTCCATCACTTGTTTTCTTTACTTTCTTTAAAAAAAAAAATCTTTCTACAGTAATTGTGAGAGTTTTTTTTTAAAAAAAATCACATAGATTCCCTTTCATAAAGGGATTTGTATAACTTTCAAATGGTATTCTAAATTTATTTTAAATATGCTTCAGTTTTGCCCCAGCTTACCAGGAAGACACGATCTTAAAGAAAGCAATTCCCTTCTGGAGTGAATGCTAGTAGGTATTTTGGCCACTAAATGGGTGGATTATACCTTTTTTTTTTTTTTTTTTTTTTTTTTTTTTATTTTTTTTTCTTTTTTTTCTTTTTTTTGAGACAGAGTCTCACTGTTACCCAGGCTGGAGTGTGGTGGCACGATTTCGGCTCACTACAACCTCCGTCTTCCAGGTCCAAGCGACTCTCTTGCCTCAGACTCCGAAGTAGCTGGGATTACAGGTGCCTGACACCATGCCTGGCTAATTTTTGTGTTTTTAGTAGAGATGGGGTTTCACCATGTTGGCCAGTCTGGTCTCGAGCTCCTGATCTCAGGTGATCCACTCACCTTGGCCTCCCAAATTGTTGATATTATAGGCATGAGCCACCACAGCTGGCCTAGATCATACCTTATATTAATAAAATACTGGCATACTTTCACACCCAAATGCTGTTGTTTAATTAGATTAATACAAATGAAACTCAAAAGGACATTTGACGTTAGGCAAAATATGGTAACCCCTGCTACAGATTAGAAAAACCAGAGCAAGGTTTTTATCCTTCCTAGGACTACAATATCATGTATTGAAACCATGGAATGAGGAAGAGGGTAATTCCTAGAAATTAGGGTCCAGGCCTATTGCAGTTTTTTGAAAAAATTACTGCTTATTATTATAGGATACTAAGTAGTATGTCATCAGCAGTTATGTCTTAAGGAGCTTCTTTTGGTTGATGATAAAGTATTTAAAAGTGAGGTATACTGTGGTCATGCTAAAGTAAGAATAAGAACAACCAACCGCTCAGAGTTGACTGAAACTGGTTCCTACCATCATCAGAATGCACTGACAGACAATCTGACTGAATGTTCTGCTAGATCAACGCTTCCTTAAGAATCTGGGTGCATGAGCTAGCACATCTGAAACCTGAGAGGTGACTCTAAATGTCAATAATGGATGGCTTTCAAACTTTAATATGCATGATACCCTCTTCTGAAATGGGTTACACGTGTTGGACAACAGGGTTTTATCCTTAAAATTCACACTCAGTAGGCTTGAGCAAATCTGTTTTTTTGTTTTTTTTTTAATTTTATTTCTTTTAGGAAACAATGAGCTATAATTTTGAGGATCTCCCTTTGAGAAATGCTGGTCTATGGTGTCCATCCAAAGAGCTCAAGATTCTAAAGCTACATACTTGAGTTCTTCAAAATCAGAGAATTATTGAACAGTAGAGCTAGAAGAGCCCCAGACATCAGCTGGTCTGAACTTTTCATAACCAGCGGACCACAGGGTTGAGATGTTTCATAGCACAGGGCTCTTTCTGCAGGACTATCACTACTTACAGCTCAGCATAGTGGCTAATAGTTAGGCCTGGGCTTCATTTCTGGCTCTACCACTTGGGATCATGTAACTTGGGCAAGTTATGGATCACTTGGGAACTTCCCTTATCTAGTATGATTGTGGAAGTCATGCAAGCTGGTGCCCACAAAGTACTTACGGGAAGTGACCTACACCAAGGTGGATTCTTTCTAGCAGATGAGGTATAGTGGCCAAAGAAAGTTTAAGGTAGGTGAAGCTTAGCTATACTACTACAACTTTGCCAGCAGGTTTTAGTGAAAGTAAGCTTCTCATATATATATATATATATATATATATATATATATATATATATATATTTGTGTTTAACTACTAGTATATGTTGAGTTAAATATATATATATATTATAATTTTATTTCCTAAAAGAAATAAAATTAAAAAAACAGATTTGCTCAAGCCTACTGATATATATTTAACATATACATATAAATATATATATATATATATATATATATATTTAACTCAACATATACTAGTAGTTAAACACAAAAATATTTTGTGCAACCTACCCTATAAAATGGCAGTCTCAGCTTGGACCTTTTACATGCTCTCATAGCACCTTGCATGAGAGGGTCCCTCAGAGGTACATAGTGACATTCCAGAGCAGAATTTGGTCACTCTTCCAGTCAGCTTCAAGAAACCACAGATCCTCCCAACAGTAGCTGGACACAAAACGAGGTAGGGATCACTCTAGCACACCCCTGAGGGTTTCACATGCAGACTACAGGATTTGCCAGATTCTTTTAGCAAGTGGCAAGTCTCTCAAATTTTTAGGCAGTCCACACATTAATGAAAACCCATTCATTACATTTATCATACAAAGTAACAAGTCAGTAATTTCACCAATCAAAACCTGTTTCTGAATTCATTATGCTAATTAAAAGGTCTCTGGTTGATAGAAATCACAAAAGTATTTGTTGTAGCGGCCTCTGGAGTATTTGCTTTCTGATAAAGTTGTGGCTGAACACTACAGTGAGAATTTTCTATTAGAGCAATTGGCTGTTCCTGGTACTGAAGTCTCAACTAACAAGTACATACATAATTACCACATTGTCCATAGAGAAGTATTTTAAAGTAAATTACTTTATGTAACAAGCACTTAGCACAATGTTTACCTATTAAATACCCAGTTAATGTTTGCCACTATTATTATTACTATTGAAAACATGTTGAATAAATCAGCAAAAGGTATAAAAACTCTATTACATAAGCTGAATAAAATAATAATCTAAATAAAAGTAATCTTACATTATGCAAATCAAGAATCACATTAAGTCTTAATTTAGCTCTGCTTCCTACATGGTATCAGAAATTTGGGTTGAAATTCAGTGAAGGCCTGGTGCAATGGCTCACATCTGTAACGCCAATGAGAGGCTGAGGTGGGAGGATCTCTTGAGGCCAGGAGTTTAAGATCAGCCCGAGCAACAGAATGAGACCCTCATCTCTACAAGAAATTTTTAAAAATTAGCCAGGCATGTTGGCTCAGACCTGTAGTTCCAGCTACTTAGGAGACTAAGGTAGGAGGATGGCTGGAGCCCAGGAGCTGAAGGCTGCAGTGAGCTATAATCATGCCACTACACTCCAGCCTGTGTGAGAGTGAGACCCCATCTAAAAAAAAATTTCGCCGAAAAAGGGATAGCAGAAACCAAAGCCTACCTGGTAACTATTTGAGGAAGAAGATAAAACCTTCTTGCTAAGCAAGGTATAAAGCAATCTTTTTTAGACCTTGGATTACAACCCATTAGTAAGCTGCAAGATCAATTCTGGATCACACTGTAAAACATATTTCTAAACGTATGTTGTGGTTAAAAACATTTGACGAGGAAGAGGAGGAAGGGAGCATGGGAGTATCAGGGCAAACATCTGGTATATCACTAAGATGAATGGTAGTTGAGGGTCAAGCTGGAGATCTTTCAGAGAAGTTTTAATAGCTGTAATTTCATACTTGCTGTCTAGAACCCTGGGGACTTTCTATATTTTGATTATGAAGTCTAGATATGCTAGCAATGATTTTCAGATACCAAATTCAGAATACAAAATCCAAACCAAAAATAGTTCAAAAATCTCTAAAGAACATTACTGTATCACTTTGTTTGAGAACTTACATTTCTCTCTTTCTTTATGTGGATCAGAAAATAGCACAAAATGACAGACACTCCCTCACTTTTCTTTAGCCTGGTGGTAAAAATCTATTAGGTCCATAATTTTAGCAGCATCTTTAAGAATCTGTCAAATGGCAAAGACTCCCAAACTGCCTTTCCTCATGGAACTGTAACTCAGGAAGAAACTGCATGACAGAAATATATTTATGGCTATACTCCAAAGATAGTCTTTTCTTTTCTGTCATTCCTCTGGATTTCTATTTCTACCTTAATGGGTTATTGTGAAACAGCACTTGTGGCTCTTAGTATGCAAGAATGGAGTACAGACAGTGTTGCCTCACGAAAGGTAGGCCTGGCTCACTAGATTTACTTTAAATAGAATATAACTTTTTATTAATAATGAAGAAAATGTAAGAAATGAGTACCAGTTTATGACTGGGCCACATGGAGATATATGTTTATGGGAGCAATTATAAATGTCCAGTATTTTAAAACTGTCTTATAACAGCAGTGTAATCAGAAATAATTTTCTTTTTTAAACAATTCAAACCCATACCAAGACTGAACATTTATGATACTTGGAACCAGTGGAGCAATTTTTGGTCTTCCAAGTGTTTTTATGTTTTATAATCCAAAGCAGTTCTGGAAGTTAGGAGGCCTGGGATATAGTTTCTGGGATATGATCTGGGATAAGTTGAAAGATTTTTTTTCCTATGCTTTCATTTATTTGTATGCACAAGAAGGCAACAATTACTGACTTGCTAATATTCAAGATTGTTTAGGTAACATTATTTACAGGGTTAAGAGCTTTAAGTAATTGTTGTGCAATTGTAGAGTAGTTTTATTAAGAGTCTTTATGTGCCAAGTAGAATAGGCTTTGTATGAAAATAGCACCAGAAATGCCAACTTTTGTATTTCAATTCAATTTCCTCTTGATAAAATGACTCAAATGTTATTAAATGAGACTTTGGGCTCAAGCTGTAGGTAATTTTTTAACATTCCTAAAAAACTTCCAATCAAATGGAAAACAAGATCCTTTTAAGATTGTGTTTCTCCTAAGAGACTTTGGTGGGGGGGTCTGAAGATTATTTTTTAACCTCTTTAAGAAGAAGCTATAGTGATATTTCCTTTCCTGTAATATTTTAACATTATTTACATAACTATTCATTTCAATAACTCATTTCTTTTGCACATATAATAGGTAAACTTTTTATTTCATAGAGCAGAAATATCAGCCACAGACTCACAGAAACTTAATGCTGGAAGGAATCTCAAGTATCATTTTGTCCATCTTCTCATTGCATGGATGAGGAAATGAGGCCCATGGCAGTTAAGTGATTTGTTCCAGATTTTGGGGAGAGAATTGGAACACAAATCCAGGCTAGATTCAGAATGTGCTCTTTCTACTCTTTCTAGAATCCTCTGTCTACCAGAAAGCTGTATTCTTTTAGCTTAATGCATAGTTTCTTGTCATAGTTAAGCTGTGTAACTGCAACTAGACCCATACTTAAGTACATATAAACAATGTAAGGAATAGTTGCCTTGATTTGCCTTTGTACACAAGTGTCTGTAAACAACAAGATATACAGTGAACTTTTAATCAGCATTGATGATGATACTCTACTTAATTTTTAAGTGGCATTCATTCAATTCAGAAGTGCTTTTGGAAATAAAAAATTTGGAGTCTCACCATTGACTGCCAGTAGTCAGCTGACATACTCTGAGGTTATGTGCTTTCAGTTTGCTATTTAAAAACATTAAAAACTAATTTGTATTAAAAACTAATACAAACATGCTTAAGGACCTCAAATGCCCTGAAACATTTGCTTGCTAAGTGTAGGGAGAAAGTTTTCTGCATATATTGGAAATCTAGTTAAGCAAAGTGATTTGAATACTCAAAAGAAAAAGATAAATAAGATAAAAGTAAAATACCGATTCCACAGGATATCTTGGATTTAATTCCTTTCTTGATGGGATCTATTGACTGACTGTGCACTGAGCCATTATTAACTAGGATACAAGCTGTTCTTCAATCTCTGCTATGTAAAATATCTTTTCATTATTACACTAAAATTGCCATCAAACTAGAGAATAATTTGGGAGAGTTCAGGGCTTTTACGGCAACACACAGCAAGTGATGCTGTCTTGACAAAATATAAAATTACCTCCAACCCTGAGCTGAAACTATAGGAGAGCAGCAAACAAGCCCTGTAGTATTGTTTTAGATGAAGCACAGTGATAGCTCTGCACTTCCTTCAGGCCTCCTCTTTCTTCCTGAACGAACTCCAGGGAATGGCATCATGTCAGGCTTTCCAGATGGATTATGTGAAGCCATAGCTCAATGTCATTTTCAATAGGAAGCCTCATAATTAAAGGTCAAATAGTCACTTCATCTGCAATCAATCAATAGAAAAAGTACTAATACGAAGAACTAATCAATCAATGGCAAATGCACTAATAAAAGCAATGAATCAAATTCAGCATGCGTGTAGATGCAAGTACATGAAAGAGACTGAGACAGGGCAAAAGCAAGAACAATAAAATAAATCGAAGGTGTATATAAGGGATATTCAGAAAGCTTCTCGAGCAAGAGTTTTCATCTTTGGTTCATTAGTTACATGGTTACCTCTTGGCCTGCAATGATTTATTCTTAAATACAAATACTAGATGTAATAATGAATGGTATTTTGTTTCACTTAAATGTATTCTATGTGAGATGTTAAAGATGTGTATATACATATATACACACACATATATAAACAGAAGAAATATGACAGTGACTACAAAGGGAAAGATGCATTTTTAAAATATACCAAGTAGGTATATCACAATCTGTTATATTTCATCTTCATGTAAGTGGTGAGAGAATAAATAACTGTAAATGATATTACCTAAAATTTCCCCTCGCTTTCTGGACCATGAATTCTTCATACTCCTTGTGATGTACTTGCATTTTCATGCAGGGGTGTTGATAATGTGGAGGCTGTGCGTGTATGGGGTCAAGCGGTATGTGGGAAATCTCTATACATATGTTCCACTCCATGTTGCTGTGAGCCAAGAACTGCTTTTAAAAAAATAAAGCTTATTTAAAAATAAAAACAAATGAAAAAGAATTTCCATTAGGAATATTATTAGCCTGTATCTCAGGTCACTGTCATGGCCTATCCTCTGTACCAGAGATGTGAGCTCACCAGTAGAGGGTGACATGTATTGGATCTTGTGAAAATGGATACAGTAAATTTATAGTGCTTAATAAGGTCATTCTAGCATTAGCATCTAATCATCCCTTGCTGTATGTGGAAATACGGTTGATCTGTCTGAGATAAGGGAGCAGCAAAGAGAACATGTTTATAAATACTACTTAAGAGACTATAAGACAGAAGCCAAATATAATCAAGGGATGACAGAATATTGGAGCTGGAAGTAAAATTACCTAATCTTAGAACCAAGGAAACTGAGGCCCAGGAAAATATCAATGGAAGAGTGAGGCTGAGTATTTAGGTCTTATAATTCCAAGAGAGCCTATGTCTATTATGTTCTGAAAGTAGCTAAGGATTTATATACATGATTACGTAGATGCCACACTAGTACAGCATCTTATCGGAGGATCTATTTCATGGTAGAACACTGCAAAAGCAAACAGAAATCCAATTTAACCCAACCCTTTTCAGCAAAACAACTACTTCATAGCACCTGTTTGCCTGAAAATCAGCTTTTGGAAATTATGAAGGACAGAAAAGTATGACTTTGGGATTAAGAAAAATAAAAAAGACAAAAAACCCTGAATGGGTGGATATTCTGCTTATAGAAAAGCACACTGATCACACTGCTGTGTGCTTCTTAGGTATGCGTCTTGCTCTTTGTTCGGTACAACCAGCTCTAGCACAGAAGAACATCATAGAGAAACAGAGAAAACCCTTTTTGGTTTTCCTGACAAAAGCAAGTCCTTTTGTATCCCAGAACTTAAAAGTAAAATTAAAAAAAAAAAAGAAAAGTGGGTCAAGTTTGCAAGCCCATTGCAGAAATGTGGGAATGTATTTGGTGCAGCCACAGTTCAGCCTGTGCTCTAAAGAGACAGGCTCATTCAGTCGCTGCACTCTGTATATCTAGACTCACTAACTTTTATAAAGGTCCCTAAGGTTTTAGAAGACCTGAAACACCAGACAGTACATGACAACAACACACGTGGGAAAGAAGTGGAAGATGATTTCCTTGAGGTCAACAACTAAAACATACTGGTTACATGAAAATCTCTAAGACCAGGGGTACTACAACCTTGGAAGTGGTAACATAGCTATAACTAACAGTGTTATTAGTAATTGATAAGAATAGCTACACTTTATAGAGTACTCACCAAGTGCCACGCAGCACAGCAAACTCTTGGATGGGCTATCTCGTGTAGTCCACAGGAATCTATTTACAGTATGATTATTGTACACATCTTGTCATTTATTGACTACCTATTATCTACCAAGTGCTATGCTAGGTACTTAACAAATTTTAACTTTAATATTTACAACAGCCTTGCAAAATAAGTATTATTCTGCCCCTTCTACAGATGAAGAGGCTAAGGTTCAGAGAGGATAACTGATTTGTTCAGGGTCACAAAATTAGGATTGGAATATGGCTTCTAAAACTGTTTCAACTTCAATTTAGTGATGATTATAGCTACAGAAATACACAAATACAGCAGTGCATAGACAGTATACATATAATTTGTTCAAATAAGCTGAACCTCTCAGTAACAACTGCTCCTTAAGGGCTTGTCCAATTTCTAAATCATTTTCCAAACTAGGTAAGACTGACAGTAGACTATCAGACAAATATGTTTGGGATTAATAAAAACATTAAGAAATGTCTTCATTTTCTAGTTCACAGACCGAATTTCCTTAACATAAGCAGACTAAGAACAATATAATGATTCTTCATTCTGTTAAGTAACTCATGTGCCAAAATATAGAAGAATTTTTAGTATGAGTTTTTGCTATAACATGCCCACCACCCCAAGGAGTTTGTGACTGATGTATATTTCAATAAAGCTTCTGATTACTTAATGACTTTTAATGACTAAAAACATAGATTCTGGATGTCTAACAGGTTATTGGGATAATGGCACTAATTGGATAAAGCTAAGTAGAAAACAGCAGTTTTCTTCTTAATCCATTTTTGTCCATTAAATAAATACTTATTTCATTTTTAGTGCTAATCTGATTGAGTTAATGATAACTATATTATTTCTTTGTAGAAATAACATTCAGAAATGGGCATCAAACTAATGTCAATATCAAATTACAGTAATAACCTTATTCCCACCTTGCTCTAAGTTGCCGGAAAATAAGTTAATCTTTTCCATGGACAACTCTAGGGCATTCCAAAGCAAAATTTTGTCAATTCCTTTTTTAGAAGTAGTTTTCACAGCATCTCCACCTCTGCTCTAATGTTAACATTCTACATTGATAATCTTTCATGAGAATTGAAAACATTTAACATTTAACAAAACATTTCATGAGAATTGAAAACATTTAACAAGTTAAATTTTACAGTATTAGTTTTGTCGCATAGAGATTTGTTCAATCAAATAACAGAATTTCAAAGCAATGACCCCCCCTCACTTTGCTACTATTCCTTATCTAATAGCATGGACAATACCCCATTCCATTTAATTTGAAGAGTTCTTTCAATTTTAAAATCATAAGATATAACTATATGAGGGTAATATATGATTTTTAACTCTGTGAATCACTTACCCAATGTGAGGGATTTGTGTGTAGAACAGAAAATGATAGCAACTGTGTCTGCTGGTGTGAAACCCGAATTATTCCTGGGGGCAAAAAAAGATTTTTACAAATACTTTTATAAAAAGCCAATTTAACACATCCAAAATCAAATGTAGTACCTACCTTTATGTTAACATCCCTTTGATCAATCATGGTGACAATAGTAATTCTAAACCCAAATGTATAGAAGTGTCTGAATTTCTTTTTAGAGAACCACTTCTAAGTCATTTAACCATGAAAAGAAGAACAGTTGTAAAAAAATGTGGTGGAGGTATCCCAAGATCACGTATATAATCAGCCCCTGGTGCAGGACTGATTATAAAAATAATGGAAAAGAGGGGAGGATCCAAGATGGCCAAATAGGAACAGCTCCAGAGTGCAGTTCCCAGCAAGAACAATACAGAGGGTGAGTGCCCACTGCATTTCCAAACAAATTTTCATTGCCCACAGACCAGGAGATTCCTGGGCTGAAAAGTGCCATGAGTTTTCAGCATGGCGGTTTCAGCTGGTGCTGGGTTGGCGCACAGAAACTCACACAAATCTGGGCAGCCGTTTCAATTGGTGCCTGGGACACCTGGGAAACAGAGCTGCCCATTCAACTGAAAGGGAGGGGTCAGAGACAGGAAGCCAGGCAATCTGGCTCAGTGGGTCCCATCCCCACAAAACAAGCAATCTGAAACGCTCTGGATTGAGAGTTTCACAGCAAGCGCAGCTGGACCCAGGATGCTCCAGCTCATGGGGGGAAGGGCGACCACCACTACTGAGGCAGTTCACACAGCAGCTGAGCAGAGCCTGCGGCAGCTCAGCAACGCCTCTGCTGGCAGACTGTAACTAGACTACTCCATGCAGGGCAGGGCATCTATGAAAAAAGGCAGCAACAGGAAAGGAACTTATAAATAAAGCCGACCTTCCTAGGACAGAGAACCTGGGAAAAGAGGTGGTTATGAGTTCCACCGCAACAGACTTAAAAGTACCTGCCCAGCATTTCTGCACAGAACAACGGAGCTCTCAGCACAACACATGAGCTCCTATAAGGGACAGACTGTCTCCTCAAGCAGCTCCCCGACCCCCATATACCCAAAGAGACATCTCATAAAGGAGAGCTCAGGCTGACATCTGGCAGGTACCCTTTTGGGATGAACATAACAGAAGAAGAAACTGGCAGCAACCCTTACTGTTCTGCAGCCCCTGTGGGTGATCCCCAGGCAAGCAGTGTCTGGAGTGGACCTCCAGCAGTCCTGCAGCAGAGAGGCCTGACTGTTAGAAGGAAAACTAAGAAACAGAAAGAAATAACTTCATCATCAACAAAAAGGATGTCCACTCAGACACCCCATCTGAAAGTCACCAACTACAAAGACCACAGGTAGATAAAGTCACTAAGATGGGAAGAAACCAGGGCAAAAAGGATGAAAACACCAAAACCCAGAATGCCTCTCCTCCTCCAAAGGATCACAACTCCTCATCAGCTAGGGCTCAAAGCTGGATGGAGAATGAATCTGATGAATTGACAGAAATAGGCTTCAGAAGGTGGGTAATAACAAACTCGTCAGAGCTAAAAGAACATGTGCTAACCCAATACAAAGAAACTAAGAACCTAGAAAAAAGGTTAGATGAGATGCTAACTAGAATAAACAGCTTAGAGACGAATATAAACAACTTGATGGAGCTGAAACACACAGCATGAGAACTTTGCGAAGCATACACAAGTTTCAATAGCTGAATCGACCAAGCAGAAGAAAGGATATCAGAGATTGAAGATCAACTCAATGAAATAAAACGAGAAGGCAAGATTAGAGAAAAAAAAGTGAAAAAAAAAATGAACAAAGCCTCCAAGAAGTATGGGATTGTGTGAAAAGACCTAATCTACATTTGATAGGTGTACCTGAATGTGATAGAGAGAATGAATCCAAGCTGGAAAACACTCTTCAGGATATTATCCAGGAGAATTTCCTCAGCCTAGCAAGACAGACCACCATTCAAGTCCAAGAAATACAGAGAATACCACAAAGATATTTCTCAAGAAGAGCAACCCAAAGGCACATAATCTTCAGACTCACCAGAGTTGAAATGAAAGAAAAAATGCTAAGAGCAGCCAGAGAGAAAGGTCGGGTTACTCACAAATGGAAGCCCATCAGACTCACAGCGGATCTCTCCGCAGAAACCCTACAAGCCAGAAGAGAGTGGAGGCCAATATTCAACATCCTTAAAGAAAAGAACATTCAACCTAGAAGTTCATATCCAGCCAAACTAAGCTTCCTAAGCAAAGGAGAAAGAAAATCCTTTATAGACAAGCAATTGCTGAGAGATTTCGTCACCACCAGGCCTGCCTTGTGAGATCCCCTGAAAGAAGTACTAAACAAGGAAAGGAACAACTAGTACCAGCCACTCCAAAAATGTACCAAATGGTAAAGACCACTGACACAATGAAAAAAATGCGTCAACTAATGGGCAAAACATCCAACGAGCACCAAAATGGCAGGATCAAATTCACACATAACAATATTAACCTTAAATGTAAATGGGCTAAATGCCCGAATCACAAGATACAGACTGGCAAATTGTATAAAAAGTCAAGACCCATCAGTGTGCTGTATCCAGGAAATCCATCTCACATGCAAAGACACCCATAGGCTAAAAATAAAGGGATAGAGGAAGATTTATCAAGCAAATGGAGAGCAAAAAAGAGCAGGAGTTGCAATCCTAGTCTCTGATAAAATGGACTTTAAACCAACAAAGTTAAAAAGAGACAAAGAAGGGCATTGCATAATGGTAAAAAGAAGAATGCATCAAGAAGAGCTAATGATCCTAAATATATACACACCCAATACTCAGGTACATAAAGCAAGTTCTTAACCACCTACAAAGAGACTTAGACTCCCACACAATAATAGTGGGAGACTTTAACACTCCACTGTCAATATTAGACAGATCAGCAACACAGAAAATTAACAAGGATATCCAGGACTTGAACTCAGATCTGGACCAAGCAAATGTAATAGACATCTACAGGACTTTCCACTCCAAGGCCACAGAATATACATTCTTCTCAGCACCGAATTGCACCTACTCTAAAATTGACTACATAATTGGAAGTAAATCACTCCTCAACAAATGCAAAAGAACAGAAATCATAACAAACAGTCTCTCAGACCACAGGGCAATCAAGTTAGAACTCAGAATTAAGAAACTAACTCAGAACCACACAGCTTCATGGAAACAAACAACTGGCTCCTGAATGTTGACTGGATAAACAATGAAATGAAGGCAGAAATAAAGATGTTCTTTGAAACCGATGAGAATAAAGACACAACATACCAGAATCTCTGGGACACATTTAAAGCAGTGTCTAGAGGGAAATTTGTAGCAATCAATGCGCACATGAGAAGCGAGGAAAGATCTAAAACTGACACCCTATCATCAAAATTGAAAGAGCTAGAGGAGCAAGATCAAAAAAACTCAAAGTCTAGCAGAAGACAAGAAATAACTAAGAAAGATCAGAGCAGAACTGAAGGAGACAGAGACACAAAAAACCCTTCAAAAAATCAATAAATCCAGGAGCTGGTGTGAAAATATCAACAAAATAGACAGACTGTTAGCCAGATTAATAAAAAAGAAAAGGGAGAAGAATCAAATAGATGCAATAAAAAATGATAAAGGGGAAATAATCACTGATTCCACAGAAATACAAACTACCATTAGAGATTACTACAAACAGCTCTATGCACGTAAGTCAGTAAACCTGGAAGAAATGGATAAATACCTGGACACTTGCACCCTTCCAAGCCTAAACTAGGAAGAAGTTGAAACCTTGAATAGACCAATAAGAAGGGCTGAAGTTGAGGCAGCATTTAATAGCCTACCAAGCAAAAAAAGTCCAGGTCCAGATGGGTTCACAGCTGAATTCTACCAGACGTACAAAAGGGAGCTGGTACCATTCCTTCTGAAACTATTCCAAACAACACAAAAAGAGGAAGTCCTTCCCAAATCATTTTATGAGACCAACATCATCCTGATACCAAAACCCGGCAGAGACTCAACAAAAAAAGACAACTTCAGGCCAATATCCATGATGAACATAGATGCAAAAATCTTCAATAAAATACTGGCAAACTGATTGCAACAGCACATCAAAAAGCTTATCCATCATGATCAGGTAGGCTTCATTCCAGGGATGCAAGCCTGGTTCAACATATGCAAGTATATAAACGTAATCCACCATATAAACAGAACCAAAGACAAAAACTGCATGATTATCTCAATGAGGAAAGAATTCCCTGTTTAATAAATGGTGTTGGAAAAACTGGCTAGCCATGGGCAGAAAGCAGAAACTGGACCCCTTCCTGACACCTTACACTAAAATTAACTCCAGATGGGTTAAAGATTTAAACATAAGACCTACCACCATAAATAACCTAGAAGAAAACCTAGGCAAAGCCATTCAGGACACAGGCATAGGCAAGGACTTCATGACTAAAACACCAAAAGCATTGGCAACAAAAGCTAAAACAGACAAACGGGACCTAATTAAACTCCAGAGCTTCTGTACAGCAAAAGAAACAATCATTAGAGTGAACCGGCAACCAATAGAATGGGAAAAAATTTTTGCAATCTACCCATCTGACAAAAGGCTAATATCCAGAATCTACAAAATAGATTTACAAGGAAAAAACAAACAAACCCATCCAAAAGTGGGCGAAGGATATGAACAGACACTTTTCAAAAGAAGATATATATGAGGCCAACAAACATATGAAAAATGCTCATCATCACTGGTCATTAGAGAAACGCAAATCAAAACCACATTGAGAGACCACCTCACACCAGCTAGAATGGCAATCGTTGAAAAATCTGAAGACAACAGGTGCTAGAGAGGATGTGGAGAAATAGGAACACTTTATGCTGTTGTTGGGAGTGTAAACTAGTCCAACCATTGTGGAAGACAGTGTGGCACTTCCTCAAGGACCTAGAAATAGAAATTCCATTTGACCCAGCAATCCTATTACTGGGTATATACCCAAAGGATTATAAATCATTCTGTTATAAG